ACTAAATGACTTATAATGTAAGACCCTTTCATGTTGTTAATATAAAAGCTAGACTCTTATTTAATAGACAGTGCTAATGTGAAAGGAAGTAAATGATCAACACATCATAAATAGGACAACTGGAGCAGTCTGGTTTTCAAGAAAATTGCATGTGGGCTTTGCTTCATTAGCTTATGACAATCAAAATAATGCCATATGCAATGAAATCATTGATCTCAACTAAGCAACATACTTGGTGAAACCTTTGCGATCTCAACTAAGCAACATACTTGGTGAAACCTTTGCATTTAAGTCCTTTATTTCATGCAATTAATTCTATATAGATTCTCACTTTTCTACTCCCTTAGCTTCCTTCTAACTGCTGTAAGGGTGTGTTTGGTGTTTGACAAAAAAATATTGATCTTGGTTCAATTAATTAAATTTATACAAATGAGTATTAAACTTAGTTAATAATAATATCTCAAAGATGAAATTCCTGATAGTGTGATAAATAATACGTAGATCTCTTCCAAAAGTAATGAAGGTACACAATGGACAATACTTAAGAACACAAACAGAAATAATGTAGCATGAAATAGTGAGGAATAACAATAAATGATATTTATGTAAATAGAACAAATGAGTCACCCGAAAAAGAATAAAATCAGCGAATGTTCTTTCTAACAATGATGAATGATGGACAAGCCTTTGAATATTCGAGTTGTCCTCGGATCTGGTGAAAAAGTGTGGATAAAAATCTTAGTGAAATTTTATTTTTGTAGGCTTATAATAAGATCAAATTCTCTCTTTAAAGTCAAAGTATATTTTACAAATGAATATCACATGCCCCCTGTTATTGTGTCTCTTTCTATTTATAGGGAACATATTCCTAAAACTCTAATAGTACAAATGTAGAGAATATCCACTAGAATATTCTCTTTAATGCCCTATCTTGAAATTAGCCGTTATAACTCTGCCAAGGGTACTCGACCTCGGCCTTGATCTTTGGCAACTCCTCGACTTCAGTCTTTGCTGACACTTCAGCCACGACCTTCATTGTTAATTAGATTACTTCGACACGTGGCGGCCTAGGAATGTTTTAATAATACTATTTCTACTAGAGATAGATTTTGACCAATACAATTAGTCCCTCCGCTTATTGAGGTTGGCTTTGCGGGCGGGTTTGATGAGCGGATCATGTTATTGGGGGTCGAGCTAACCAGACGGACTACACAGGTCGTGGTTGTTGCGGCGAGCAAGCGACGTAGACCTCTGTAGGCCGCGCATTTCAAATGCCTCAAATTTCCCAGGTAATTTGCTAGAGTTATGTTGTCCATGGGTTGGGATAACGTCATGATGTCATGCGTCATTATGACGCATATTCCCGATGTGTTGTTCTGTTTAGCGTGTGACCTTTGATTAGACCTGCCGCTTCGGTTCCGGTACCAATCATGATGAACCGTTTTTTGATTTTGGTGCTATGACCTTTATAAATAGAGATCTTTGAACCTGATTTTGAAGTTTAAACCTTCCAACGTTTTAAAGTACCATACCCTTCTCTTGCTCTTCTTCTTCTCCGAATTTTTTTCTGCTTCATTGACCTATATCGTTCTTCATTCCCTCTCGTTTGTTACTTCTCTCCACTGCGTTAAATCATGTCTAAATTGTCTTCTGATGATAGTGAGGGGAGTCGTGTAGTTCCCTTGGCAGTGGTGTTCCCCTCCCATAGGGAGAGCGTTCAAGCCACCGTTGAGGATGAAACCATTCCGTCGGTGGAGGAGATAATCCCACGCAACCCTGATTCCAGATCAAATTTCACCAAATCACCAGAGGCCGCACCTGGAGCTTTTCGATCAATGATGACGGTGAAGGAATTAGCGGAGCTTAAGGCTAAATTCGGCCTTCCCAATCATATCGAGTTGATCCCGGCTGAGAGGGATACAATACAGGTCCACCATCTTGGGTATTGCGCCCACTATGCCTACCCCTTCCAAGTCGGCTATTTTTTTACCCTCCTTCCACTGGTGGAGGAGTTCTATCATCACTACGGTATTTTTCCTACTTAGCTCGCGTCGTACGTCTATAAAATTATAAAGATGCTCACTAAGTTTGCTGAGCTGGTCGGGGTCCAACTGACACTGCGGCACTTAATTCATCTATTCGCTCCTAGTTCTTATAGGGGAACGATGCTGAACCTTCGCCACTGAGGGGGTAAATGCTTTGCGGTGAAGATGGACGACAAGGCTAGTCGTAAATTCTGGTTTAACTTCTTTTTTGTCAGAACTGAGGACGTTGTGGCCAATGTCAACGGCTTTCCTGAGTCTTGGAACTATACTCGTAAGTACTTTGGTTTCTCCCCCTTGTTCGGTCCTGAATTTTGGCTTCTCGTCTTCTTCTTTTGTAGCCAAGATTTCGCCTCCTCCTTTGGACGCTCATATTTCTAACTGGGTCGAGAGGCTCCTCACTCACATCGTAGGGATTTGTGAATGGCCAAGTTTTTCAAGAAATTCGGGCCTACTCTCCCTTCGACTGGTAATTTCCTTTCTTTGATCGTGGCCACTCCGTTTCCTATTATGTACAGATTCGTTTTGCTGACTTAATGCTGTCGTTTTCTCAGGTAGGGGTTCTCGGAGGAGCCGGGCACCAGTGCCTTCTTTCCGAAAGGTGGTTGTTGCCTCCTCGACTTCGGCTCCTGTTGCGGCTACTACGTCTTTCGTACCGATCTCGACCTCAACTGCCGTAGATCGGGAGCCTATCTCCGTTTCTTCTGCGACTCCTGCCCCAAACTTTATTCGCTAGTTGATGAGGATGACGTTTCTCCTGATGACGGTGGTTTGATGCCTCGTAAGAGGAGGGTCGTGGATACCGGGGGAGAGAGGCCGACAACCATTGATGTGGGAGATTGTGGCATTGTCCTTCAGGAAACAGCCGCAATGCATATTGGAGAGAGCCCAGAGGCAAGTCCCGAGGCCCCTCACTTGGAGGATACGAGTACGCGTCCTATGGGGGACGCAGTCGAGGGCGTGGTGAGCAATGACGGCCCTACCCTTCCGAGGCGCAAGGAGGTCACATCTTCCGGGGTCGCGGCGGACGTGCCTTCTTTGACTGATGATAGAAGGAAGGTTGTTGTTGAGGAGGATGTTGGATCTGACTCTGACATTGATATAGACAAGTTGATGATGATCGATGAGGGGCTTACTCAATCGAAGTAAGGTTGGAAGAGGGTTCAAGGACTATTGCGATCCCGATGGATCGTAATATTCTTGTAAACACCGAGGAGATAATCCCCTCCCTTGGCCATCTTTGTTCTGAAATTGAGGGTACGACCCTCGAGACTATAAATGACAGCACCCTGTCAAATAACATTGTTGGTCTCGCCCTTCGGGTAAGTACATTTGTTGTCCATTATTTTCCTTACGTTTTGTTCTTTCGTAAGTTCTAACTTCCTTTATTCGTTTTGCAGACGGTCGTCCTAGAGATTGAAAGATAAAAACTTCATTTAATGGAAATGATTGTATGCATATTTTTAGAAATTACTAATCTTAAAAGATTCTATATGTCTGTTATAGAGGGGTAATTTTACAAAGAGCGTTCTGCTATAAATATGGTTGTTGCTGTTATAGGTAAATAGCTGTTATAGAGAGGTAAAATATAACTTAAAAATCGATTTTGAAGAAAACTTAGACTTTTATAGTGAATGACTATTATATAGGGATGCAGTTATAAAGAGTTCTAACATAAACAAGTGTAGTTACAACCATTAGGTCGTCTTCTTCTTTATTTCTTAATGCTGCACTATTTAGAAATTTAAACAGAATTCTTAAATGTTTTGGAACATAGGTTAATGCCAAAAAAAAAAAGTAATTTTGTTAAAACAATCTAAGAGCACTTGTTTGCACGGAAGGCTTTGGAATATCCTTATTTACATTTCAAAACATATCTAAAAGAAACATGTTTGATAGTCAACGGTTTTTATAGCTAGGCTATTAGGAACTAAATAAAAATATCCTCTCGAAAATAGCAACCATTTTCCTACCATAAACTAATCTTCTTTTCCTGGTTAAATAATGAGAAAAGAGTTACAAGAATGATTATTTTCTTTTTGTGCTAAGTAAGTACTTTGAAAAAAATATCAGTTTTTTGTATACAGAAAATAGTATTACAAGATATTCATTTCAATTATCTCTTCTTAATATGGTTATGAATATCTTAAGTTAGGACACTTATACCCAAACAAGTTAACTTTTTTTCTTATCCTAACTTCATAGGATTATTTTGGATCTTAAAATTTATAGAAGCTTGGAATTGATAGACAATGTAGGAGTTATAGTTAGAGGTAAACTAGGTTAGAAGGAGATAATGCTTATCTATTAGTCTCTTCGTTTCTTTTTGAAGTTGCCTGACTCCAATTGTAATGGAATTAGCACATTTTCAGTGATTTTCCGTAATTTCCTCCAACCTTCTTTATTTTCCCTTTCTCTCTTATTTATTTTGTAGATATGGATTTAAAATATTAATTTAATTAGTAATATTATATAAATATTACTAGAAGATAATATTACTTAAAAAGTTAATGTAGTAGGGTAAATTATATTCCGAGATTTAAGTTGTGAATAAAATAATAAATTGAACTGTAAAATTTTTTAAAAACTCTTCAGAAATAAAATTATGCTAATTGTTTTTTGAAAAGCTCATACATAAAATAATATACTCCATCTTGAATCTATCCAATTTTACGTGAAGATGTTTGACTGTTTTAAGATTTCTTTTTAAAATTTATGGTCTAAAACATACCAGGACATTTATGTTATGATAAAACATTAGTATTAAAAGTTAAAAAAAAGTTTAAGACGAAGTTATTTTTAAATATAAGAATTTATCATTCATTTTAAGACAAATAAAAAGAAATTTGTGTCAAATAAAATAATAGTTACTCTCCGCAAAGTGCTAGCCATTACTAATTTGACATTATAAATACACCATAAAAGAAAAAGACAGAAATAACGCTAAAGCCCAACTCAGAGAATACAAAAGCCGAAGTGAAACCAAGAAAAAAGAATCAAAATCAGCAGCAGCCAACTTCTCTTTCATACACACATCTATACATAGAAATATACTAGAGAGAGAGAGAGAGCGCAAGGTTCTTATTGTTATTGTCTTATTGGTTTATTGCATTGGGCACAAGGTGGATATGCAGCAAAAGAAGAAAAGGTGGAGGAATTCTGTTCGAAAGGTGTTAAGTTGTGCCATTGCTGTAATAACTTTTGTGGCTCTGCTATCAGTACATGTTCATGTCCCTTCCTTTGATGTTACTAGGTTCCCTCACAACAAACTTCCTATGGTACTACAACTGCAATTCCTCTCTCTCTTTCTACAGTTTCTGTTTTGTTCAAGATGTAGTGAAACTATATAAATATTTCTTCAATTTATTTTTCCTCTGTTATCTTGATCTTTGTTTTGTTGCATAACTTAGCTTTGGTTTTGTATTTTCGCTTCGGTCGTCATATTGGTTTGCTTGTTATTGCCCCTCCCCTTTTCCTTCCTGAGCCGAGGATATACCGGAAACAACCTTTCTGCCTTCTTAAAGGCATGGGTAAGGTATGTCTACGCTCTACCCTCCCCAGACCCCAAGACCACTTGTGGGACTACACTGGGTATGTTGTTGTTGTTCTTGATCTTTGTTTTGAGCATTTTTATTATTTCAATGCGTGTTTGTGTCTTATTAATATTTTATTTTTTAAGTATTTTGAAATCCCATTTCAAATTTTTCATCAAGCTACTGTTTTTAGGTGATTCATGATATTGGAAAATAATTTCCAGAGTTTTTTCTTTGCTTTTTAAATTTTAGCTTGTCGGCGTGTTGTATTTTCTTATTCCTGGTTCGCTATTAGTACATGTTGTGTCATTCGCTTCCGTTACCTTGTTACCTTGTTGTTGCAATTTTTTGTTGCTTTGGTTTCACTGTTCCTTGAGCCGAGGGTTTACAAGAAACAACTTCTCTATCTTCATAAGTTAGGGGTAAGGTCTGCGTACACATTACCCTCCCAAGACACCACTTGTGGAATTATACTGGGTTTTTTGTTGTTGTTGTTGTAGGCGTGTCTATTGGGCTTAAACATAGGTGAAATGGATACAGAGGATTAATGCGTAGCAGTTGTTATTGTTGTCGTTTAGGCTTGTTCATTAGTAGTATGATTTTAATACTGATCTAGGGTGCCTGAATATCTATAGCAGCATGAGTTTTCATACCAAAGATTGAGTGGAGAGCGAAGCTGGATTCAGGAATTTGCTCCACCCCATTTCTCAAAAGCTCCTGTTACTGCTAGCAAGGTTGTATGTTCTTTCAAAAATATACTAAAGTTTTAACTTTTAATATCTCAATTTTAATAAAAAAGAATTCTTTTCATCTTAGTAAATTGAGAGTAGTTATATATCTTTCATGTTTTCACTCCTTTAGATTTGACAGTTGGATGGTGCAAATTGGAATTGGACCTTGGATAAGTTATGGAGACCGCCTCCAAATCGAGACTATGTTCGTTGTGTTGCACCAACTTCATTATATACGTGTAAGTCATTTCTTGTTTCCTATCAACAAATACTTCAAAATAGCTTAGTCATCCTTGTAGCAAACATAAAGAGGACTATTCTGTTTCTTATCTTTCATATTAGTGCATTTCATCTCCAGCTCCTCCAGAGTCTCGAGGCTACCTGCTTGTTCATACAAATGGTGGACTCAATCAGATGAGGGCCGGGGTCAGTATTTTTCTACTCCCTTCTCCTTGTCACACAGTGTGCATCGTTAGATGTATCTTTTTTTGGCACACTTTTCCTTTATATTGAGCCGCGTAACAGTTTAGCCATAAATGTGAAGTTCAAACTATTTATGCATAAGTTTGGTATGTCATTGTTTGAACTGAAAGCAGTTATTGTTGTTTTGTAGATATGTGACATGGTTGCTGTTGCTCGTATCATAAATGCTACTCTTGTAATCCCGGAGCTCGATAAGCGCTCACTTTGGAAGGACTCTAGGTCTGCAATGATACTTTTATTGTTCATTTCCTTTCTTTTAGTATTTTCATGCTCCAATTTAAGTGTCAAATTGCAAAGGAATAGTAGCATTGTTTTCATCCTATTATGTTTAATCAGCAGCCTCTGCTGCAAACTCATGTATGCGGAAACACTTACTCTTCTGCTCTTGAATTGCAGCAAATTCTCTGATGTGTTTGATGAAGACCATTTCATTAATTCATTGGCAAATGATGTACGGATTGTCAAAAAGCTACCAAAGGAACTTGCATCTGCAGCTAGAGCAGTTAAGCATTTCAGAAGTTGGTCTGGTGTAGATTACTATGAGAAGGAGATAGCTAGTATGTGGGATGAATACCAGGTATATATCTTGCACATTTTTTCACACAAGGAAAGCACAAAAAAAAAAGGAAAGTACTTTATTATGGCTAATATATCCGAAACAATTTTGTAGGTGATTCGAGCAGCCAAGTCTGACTCAAGGCTGGCAAATAATAACCTGCCTCCTGACATTCAGAAGTTGCGCTGCCGTGCTTGCTATCAAGCCCTCCAATTTTCTCCCCAAATTGAAGCAATGGGAAAGGTGATCATTTTATTTATGCTTATTATTGTTTCTGTAATATCTCCACTGTTATATTGTCACAGTCTTTCATGTCATACACTCTTTTATTCGCAGTTGTTGGTAGATCGTATGCGAACCTATGGTCCATACATTGCTTTACATTTGCGCTATGAAAAAGACATGCTTGCCTTTAGTGGATGCACACATGATCTATCCCCAGAAGAAGCTGAAGAACTAAGGGCAATCAGGTAGGTTATTATGACACGAAGCTAACTGATGTTTGAAATCTAGAAGCATATGCTAGTAGGAAATGCTTCTAGAAAGACAGAACGCATATGACTTAAGACTGTTTGAATATAATAACAATTGCTTTTATCTCATTATCGGAAACAACTCCTTTACTGTCACAAGGTAGGGGTAAGATCTGCATACATTCTACCCGTCCCAGACCACACTTTATGGGATTACACTGGGTTTGATTTTGTTGTTGTTGTTGTTGCTTTTATTTCATTGTCTTTACAATTTATAGGGAAAGCATCCCATGGTGGAAAGTGAAAGACATTAACCCTGTAGAACAAAGAGGCAAAGGCTATTGTCCATTAACTCCTAGGGAGGTGGGGATGTTCCTTTCTGCTCTTGGATTCACATCGAACACCCCGATTTATATTGCTGCAGGAGAGATATATGGGGGTGATTCCCATATGTCTGATCTACAGTCTCGCTATCCCTTACTAATGAACAAGGTTTGTTCTTCACAAACCTACCTCAAATAGTTGTTTGATGTTTTCCTTATTTCTGGGATCATAATTTCTGAAAATTTAATAGTGAATCACTGTGACTGTGGACGCCCATAAACTTATATTTTCTGAGCTGCAAAGGAGATTAACCTCTAACACCAAATACCATCAATTAGCTTTATTATGAACACTTTCTTTATGTCAAATATGTAAAATCAAACCACAGCTTAACGTTCTGTCACTAATATACATCGCTATGATATCCCTTTAAGTTTTCGTTGGTAGTTGTTTATTGAAAATAAAGCTGGTTCTGTTGCTGGTTGTTGATATCTGCTTTTGAAACCAAGTGTGAGATTCTATTTGCATCCAAAGAGAGAACGCAGAATAAGTGTGCAGGTTTACTTACCTCAGCATATCCTGTTGAACATCTTTCCTGAGCTAACTGATAGCTGCTGTGAAATATGGCTGATAGAAGTATTACCTTACAGCTAAATCATAAGGTTGTAATTGTTGAGACAGACAGCAGAACTTTCAATGTGACTAGTAATGTTGCCAGCTTTAACTGAAAAGAGGAAGATTAAGCTTGGTAGTGTAGATTGATAGGTTGCGCGAGAAGCCAAGCCTCCAGTGAGTTTCGAACTGTGTGCCACTGGACCTCGAGGATTTCTCGGTTATCAATAAAAAGGAAAAGTTCGTCTATTGAACTGGTAGATTGTTCCGTTTAGGAGTGGAAAAGTAAATTTGTTTAATCATATAGATTTATATGAGACTTGATGATCGTGTCAAACTCTGTCAACTTTGGAGATTTCCATTAACTAAAGAAATGATATGAAAAGAAAAGTGAGATTCTTCTCACCATGATTATATTGTACAGAATCCATCTCATTTCCTAATCCAATATCTTCCCCTCCATATCAACGTTAACTGCCTGCTTAAATGAACAATCTTTGTCTTTTGCAGGAAAAGTTGTCATCTTATGAGGAGCTTGAACCATTCAGCAAGCATGCATCTCAATTAGCTGCAATTGATTATATTGTGTCAGTTGAGAGTGACATATTCATCCCTTCGTACTCGGGGAATATGGCAAGAGCAGTTGAGGGACATCGTCGGTTTCTGGGGCACAGGAAAACAATATCTCCTGATAGGCAAGATTTTTTCCTGAATACACTGTATCAATATCCTTTTAACTTTCTCTTAGTACTTGGTCTGCTAGCAGGATTCGAACTACCTGCTAATATTTTCGTTTAATTCATCAGGAAAGCTCTCGTCCGGCTTGTCAACAAAGTTGACCAAGGTACAATGATAGAGGGGAAAAAACTTTCTGATCGCATTATTGAAGTTCACAGAACAAGGTATTTCAAAGTAAAATTTGTTATCCTAAGTGATACTTAATCAAATTGCTGGTGACATGAATTCTCTTTTAGTCGTGGAAATTTTAGTCATAAGATTTCTTAGTAACAATTGTAAGAGTTACCTGCTTGCTATTATTCTTGTCCTATGTTTCTCGAGGCTGGTCATGTATTGTGGTGTATTTGAGCAAAGGAGTGCAATAGGATTTGCTTAGAGTGTTCCATGTCCTTGGCCTGAAATTAGCATTCCATTTTCACATTTATTTTAAAGCCTTAAAGTGATGCTATGTCAAGCTTTGTTTTGCTCTTATTAGTTCAAAATATCCTTGCTTTACTCAACCATCTTTTGGTCTCTTAGTTGTGAAGACTACGTTCATGACTCCTATAGTCATTTAGTGACCAACATCTCTTCTTTTTTTAATTCATATATAATGTGGTGTTCGAGTTAACTTGCAGCACCTCCACTATTCCACCAGGTATTTGTAACAATTCAGCCCGCTAGTGATATTGTCTGCTCTGGGCCTAGGCCTTCACGGGTTTAAAACGCGTCACTAGGGTCTAAGGCTTGTTAACTTATATACCCATCATCCCTCTTGTGTTTTGCCGATGTGGGACTCTGTCTAAAGTATAGGGTGTTACAGTATTTGTTATCTCTCACCAGCAAAGCTACTGGGTAGCTTTGCCTACCATGACTTGGGTAGATGGGAATAAAATTACGTGCTTGCCTTTTTTGTTTCTATTGGGATTTGGACCATGGTCTCCATTTTGATGACCAAGATATTATATTGCCTTTGGTTACTGAAACTGTGGACTGCATTATCTAATTCATCTGCTTATAGTTGTTATCTAATCTTCTTCCTTGCTCAGGCAAGGATCGCCTAGGAAGAGAAAAGGACCTATTTCAGGAACGAAGGGAATGGATAGGTTCCGTTCAGAGGAGGCATTTTATGTAAATCCTTTACCAGATTGCTTGTGTCAAAAGGAGTCAGCATACACGAACAATTCTAATGCTATCGTGTAGTTCAGTGAAGCGCAAACATGAGAGAATGGCCTGAACTTGTATTGAAGCTCGACCAGGCATCAGCAATGCAGATGATTAGTGTGCAGGATGTATATATACACGACGAGAATTAGATTGTTTGTGGAGACTTGCAAGTATAGATGATAAGAGTATAGGATTTATGTTGAGATGAGACTTTCCATGCGGGGGAAGTTGATCAAATTAAATGAATTATCAGTCATATTTTGTGTAGAGGGAGGGACTCATTGAGGAGAAGCACAAGGGTGCACTTGTACATTGATTTTTATATTTTTTTTTGCCCCCATTGTTGGACACTTATTTAATAAAATCCATTCTTGGACATTTTCAGTAAAAGAATAATATCGATTGAATCTTACCTAGATAGTATATTTATGTACAGCATGCACAAAATTCACTTTTACCTGACTACTGGTACCTAGATGGCTGCTGCTTCTGACTTTATTACGTGGTTTTTTTTTTCTTTCAGTTCTGTAGCAAAGCAACAAAACTATAAACAAGAAAAAAACAAAAATGTGGCAAGAGTGCAACTTCCTGTATTCTCAATGCATATTTGAAGCCAAGCCCCATAAGAGGGCACCTGGATACGAAACATGATTGATTGTAGTATTTAAACTCAAGATCCTGTTGTCTGAATTATGCACCAGTCCCTCAGAACGTAAAACGAGTTTGATGAATTCATTATTAATCGAAAAAATTACTGCTTTTATTTCCATACATGGTTATGTTTAGGCAGGTTGGATTTCCTTTTCTGGTATAACAAGATGTAAGAAGTTGTGTTTTATCGTCTTATCTGTTGTATTTTTTATTCTTTTATCCATTAGAGATTAAACATTCTGTTCGCAATTAGTTAGGCTGCTAAGCTTGGCCCAACCACTGGAGGGGTGAAGTGCCTCACAATCAGATATAGTCTGTATAGACCTGGAGCTGATGCACTTCATTTTATTCATTCCTCCTGATAGATTTCAACAAGTAGCAAATATTTGTTTCTAAGTCTATCATAAAGCTTCTTTGAACAAAAAAAGGTGCAGTGAAGTACTAGAAGAGTTCGGAGCTGTCGAGTGTTGATCAGTAAAGTTCCTTTCTGCAAGCTACTTTGTAAATTGCTCATGACATCAAGACTGATTTGAAGACACAAATTTGCAGATGTGATTTGATATGCGATGGAATAGTAGTTTAGCTTCTTGTTGGGTTAAAACAGCATCACCACGTTATGACTCAAAACTGTATTATATCATATGTGCGGCAAGTAGCATAATGTTTGGGATGAGGTAGGTAGTGCTAGTGTAACGAGGAAGATATGCAATGGTAAAATAAGCTTTATTCCAGGATATGTTAATCCTCTGACCGAAAATATTTAAGTGTAACAGATTCTACTGGATATTCAACAAGTACAAGAGTTAGAATAGAGAAATGTGCATTGTAAGTTAAGAAGGATGGATCATGAACAATTCTCTTTGTAGCAGCAAACTCATTGTATGCTTAAACTAGTTCCATTGGAAAGGCAAAACTTTATTGATCACAATTTTTTCAAAGAGACCTCCCTATTCATTTAAGAGTTCAGATGTAGCAGGGTTGGAACCAAAAATGCCGATTACAGTGGTCCTGGAAAGGTGCCATTCTCCCTCTGCTCATTCCATCTATCTATCTGCAGCCACAATTAAAGCAAAACATGTCATTGTCAAAAGGAAACACCAAAAAGATCTGACAACATGAGAGGATTATCATGAATTTCGAGAAACGCATTATCCACCTCAAGTCTAAGCCTCAGTCGACCTATGAGACTTGTGAAAGTCAAATATCACACAGTGACCAGAATGCATCAAACTTGCCAACAATTCCTTTGCTCCCTCAAAATAATAGATAAAAGGCTGCTTTCACCCGTCTGTTATTTCTAAAGAATAGGCACATTGGTTCATTCATTACCACCCCTTTTAAGTATACTTAACCACTTGTTCATACAGAGATTCATACATATTCGTAATTCTGTAGCATTGACTTGTTTAGACTCAGAAATTATGTCAGCAGGATTCTAATTTGAATCACCTTTTACCAGAGGAGACCGCACAGAGCCAGATCTAACACAATCACAGCCCCAAGTATGGCTCAAAGATCTTCAGATCTGACCTGCTATAACTCTACCATGAATTGGATCACCAATCTATCCTCAACCCATAGCAAATTACAATCAATTTGAACACCAAATTACTAAATTTCTTAGACCAACTAAACTCCACACCATGAGACCACCGCTAACATTCAACTCCCATCTCCATCTCCACTTTCCACTTAAACACGATCAAGACAATTGAAAAATGAAAAATGAAGTCAGTTATCTCACCCTTACGATGAAAGTTGCATAATTTATCAAAAGATGAAGCGAGTTGTAAAATTCTCTACAGGCAGAGGAATGTCTACTGGTTCCAGTGAACCATATTACCTGATTGCTGGCAATCCACAAGCCCACATCTCACCCATCCCTTTGGATGAATTACAGTGCTAGGATTTGAACACAAAGTCAATGGATATGGGCCCCATTGTATGCTAATTTCAATAAATCCTGAGGCGTCATTTTGGATCACATCTCCAGATTTTTCGACAGCTCTGACCTTCTCCCATCACAGATGGAAGATGCTCACTCCCCTCTGGATCCTCTCTGCTGAGGAAGGTGTTAAAGGCAGTCACTCCCTACCCTTTTGAGTTTGCAGTCACTTTATCTCAAGTCAAGCCCCAGACACCTCCGCTTTCCCGATTTAAGGATTTTATGGTCTCTGATTTGTGAGCATCATAGTCAAAGCTCCTCGATACCCTCTTGGCCTCTTTACCACTGCAAAGTTCACCTTCATACTTCTCATAATCTGAATAGTGTCCCTAATCTGTTTCTTCAATTTAGTTGTATAGAGGGATTTGGTGTTGTATTTTAGGATTGCTCAATTGTTGAAAAAAGCACCGAGAATCATTACTGCAGTCTTCACAAATGCTAATAAAGTAAAGTTTGCATTCAGAAGGCTCTTATAATCCAATCAATACATTAACATTTCATGCTTTAGTGATTTCTATTGTTAACAATTCAAATTTACAGATCAAGGCAATCCCTCCACTTTAGGACCTGACTGCTTCCATCCAACCAAATCCAAGGGAAATATTGTACTTCTACTTTACCTCATATTTGCCCGACGTTTAGATGAGTGTGGGATTACGGCAAGCGTACAACCAAGAGCATAGGCATTACATACATACAAGCACTTTATGTATATACTTATTAATATGTGTATGTATACACACACATACATACTAATCTCATCTTGCAATTGAAAAATACAAAATAAACATACCCATTCACCAGGGCAAAGGGATCGGTAATACTTGGCAAACTTGTCACATTCAGGAGCACCTTCACCCTTTGCAGCTATGCATCTGAAAGGCAAACCAACCAAATACATTTAGGCTACATGGATTTATCACAAAAATAGATGCAAACACAAAAGAGCAATGACCAGCATAGCATGTTTACTGACCGATGATATTCAACATATCTTGTGAAGCAGTGCCTTGTCTGATTCGTAGTAGGGAAACGGAAGTCAGCAGGCGCCGTCTCGAGCTAGTTGACAATCACGACAAGAACCACAACACAATCAATAGATAAGATATAGCCAATACACAGAAGTCAAAACTGATTGTCCAGTCAATCTAACCTTGATCTCAGGGGTCTCATCCGCTGATTCTTGATCCCCATTCCCAGAAGTCTCGTCTTCAGTACTTTCGGTGCTTTCTTCACTGGCAGCCTCTACAGGAGGAGAGGCTTCATTAATTTCAGGTGCTGCTGAATCAGAGGCTCCACTGCTTTCTTCAGGTGCAGCAGGGACAACTTCACTGCTCTCAACCACTGGGGTTTCCTCAGTTTTGGAAGTATCTTCCTCAGATGGAGCAGTAGAAGAGGCCTTAACCTCAGTTTCTTCCACTGGCTTTGCCACTGTGGTAGATTTCTCTTCTATCTCTTTCAGCAAATATTGCTGCACATCCAGGATTTGGAAAAAAGTTTGTCATTTGCTGGAAAAGCTTCTATCAGAGGGAGGAAATCTCAGTGGGACAACGAAGCAAATGGTTTTAAGATGTTTCATGTAGTTGAGCTATGGGGAATCCAACAGAAGTATTGTCAATAAAAACAAGTTCTCTGGGAGTGCCCCACATGCATCTATAGTATCAAAATAACAGAAGACCTGAAGAGCTTACAAACTCGTAAACAGGCAAAGGAGACGTCAGGATTTGGAAAAAAGTTTGTCATTTGCAGAAAAAGCCTCTATCTGGGGAAAGAAATCTCAGCGGAACAACAAAGCAAATGGTTTTAGATGCATCCAATAATAGAGGTATTTGGAATTCCAATAATAGAGGTATTTGGAATCCCACATAAGTACAACAACAACAACCCAGTAAAATTCTACTAGTGGGGTCTGGGGAGGGTAGTATGTACGCAGACCTTACCCTAGAATCCCACATAATTATAGTCAATAAAAACAATTTCCATGGGAGTGCCCACATTCATCATTAATATCCAAATAAAGGAAGACCTGAAGAGCGTACAAGCTCGTGAATTGGCAAACCGGACACGCCAGAAAACCAACTCCAAGTAACTATTAAAAGATTCCTAATCAGGCAAATAGCAAATTCCACTTACTTTAGATGGGGACGACAAACAGGGCAGTGTGAAAGGGTGAAGCCTTCTTAACCCACAAAGTTTTAAGCCTCCCGACCCGTGCATTTTTCTCTATTTTGACCTGCCCCTTGCCCGGAATAAACCCTTTCTGCCTCGCTTAAGAGTTCTTTTCTTTTCTTTTTTTCACCTAGTGAGTTTAACGTGTTATTATTCTCTAAGATTTCATTTAATCCGCCCTACACTGTGACGCTTTTGATTATTGAAAAAAAAAATTAACCATCTCTCATGATTACGATTTGACCTGCCTCGCCCTGTTGCCAATCTCTAACTTTTTGTCACTTCCTCGTGTAAACCAAAATCCTATAGATAGATAGGAAAACAGCCAAACAAGGAGCCAAAAACTAACTTTTATCAAATGACCGTCAGCTGATTATTAGCTCTAGTTTCCTCTCAAAATCGCGAATATTTTGAAGTAGTTGAACAGACACCCACAATTAAATTTAAAATATCAGAAAAATAAATTAAACTTTAACTGAATTAGAAATCAGGCTCTCAGCTATACATGCCAATTACACTTGCCTGAGACTTTCCGATCCTTCTTCCAGTGCTACTAATTTCTTATTATAAAAGATCCTCATTTAAATTTGCATATTTCTGAATCTATACAT